AAACGCTGGGAGGTCCCACAACAAAAAACAGCCGGGCCTAGCAGACACACAAGTTTGGCACCAGGCGGGGCTTAGGGGGGATTTGGGGTTCTAGGGGCTTTGGGCTTAAGGGGTCAGGGTTGAGTGTTTAGGACTTACAAATTAAGTAGCCAACCCCAGGATCCATTTCATTAGCCCCTTCAGTCCAGCCCCCTGCGCCCGAGATTGTCATGAAGCCTGTGCTGCTTCCGCATTCGCTCCCGCCGACGCTGGCAGTCGCGACCTCAGGAATCTTCGCATGTTGAACCCATGCAGTTTTAGGGTTTACGGAGGGTGAGGGCCTGGAGTTCCTAAAGTTTCATTAGTTTTTAGGGGTTTAGGGTTTAGGGCTTTAGGGCTTTTAGGGATTGACTTTGGGATAGTCTGGTGTACTGGCCCTCTCGAGGCTTTCGTCGTGGTGATCGCGTGAGAGACCCTGCGAGATTCTGACTTTCTGAGAGGTCAGCACACTCGACTCTCGGGTCGGAACCCCCAACCAATTCCCAGAGACTCCCAAACCCCTTAATTAAGGAATAGACCTTGAATCATATTAGGGTTCCTACTATAGCTTAAGGTATATTGCTTAACAAAAAGCGGTTTTGGAGCCTCTGGGAAATGACTAGCATAGAGCAAGAAATGTCCCAAAAACGGAGGCCCGCACGCAGCCGCTCGCCATCAGGACGCACTGTCGCGGCCTGGATTGAGACATGACAACGTGAGAATGAGACCAGGCAGGCCTTAACCCTAAACCCCACAAGCCTGAAATATACTCCCCTTAGTTTTAACCTTGATATTTTTCTGTGTTTAATATCCTCTTGGGCTTTATGCTAAGCAAGAATACAGAATAATTCCCAAGAGGGATGGTGAATGGGCCTTTGTGAGTCGCCTTGAAACGCCGGCGTCCACGGCATGAGAACGCCCGACGCTCCCTCGTGGAAGGTTCTTGGACTCAGGGTGCCCAGAGACTCCAAAACCCCTTAATTAAGGAAAATACCCTTAAATCATATTAGGGTTCCTATTATAACTTAAGGTATATTCCTTAATTAAGGGGTTTTGGAGTCGAGGTTCAAGACTGCAGTGCTGCGCGCTTTAACACCGAGTTACCCTCGGCTTGCTACATCAGAGGTTCTGGAGCCTGCATGTGTGGCGTGAATGTGCGGCTACTACGCGGAGCTCTAATCGGTGAACTCCGGGGGTCCAAAATCAGAACAGTTGCAACAAAGCCGTTTCAGGCTCTGGCCACTCCACGCAAAGTAGAGCCCCTAGCAACTTATCAAGCGACTGAAGGAGGGACCCTTTGGTCCGTTGTGGGTTATTTAAGGGCTAGTTGGGGGCTACTTAGGTATAGACTCTCTATACGGTATGTATAGGGGTTATATAGGGGAATGAGATGAAGGGTCCTTTCTAGGGGTCCCCCCCTATACCCCTTGACCTTAGCACGAAGCAATCAAACCTTCATATGGAAAAGCCAAGGTTGTCCCACAACCTAAGTATCGAAGGATGGTCCTGGACAATTAGGGTTTAGGGTTTAGGGTTTAGGGTTTAGGATTTAGGGTTTAAAGCTACTGGGCATCCTTAAAACCCCAAAAAACCCTAGAACAAAAGCCTCCTCGATGTAGTGGAGGCAGGCTGCCGCCTCACGAACCTCCCCGAGACCCTGCGCGGCAGGCGCGGGGAGCTAGACACCCCACAGCCCCATCAAAAACCCCAAACCCTAACCCCGCCCTAAGCCTATCAACCCTAAACCCTAAACCCTAAACCCTCTAAGGCTCTGATTCAGCTCTCATGCCCTCGGGCACTTTGGGCGCAAGGCCTGGTGGAACTTGCTATTGGCCAAGCCCACATAGGGGTTTCCGAAGTTAACCCTAAACCCTAAACCCGAAACCCTAAACCCTAAACTTACCCTAAACCCTAAACCCGAAACCCTAAACCCTAAACCCTAAACCCGAAACCCGAAACCCTAAACCCTAAACCCTAAACCCTATTTTAGGGGTCCCCTCAACTCCCACATTCCGAAGAGTGTTGAGTATTCTTACAGCTTGTAAAGAAAGAACCCTAAAACACTGTGGGGTTTAGGAAATAGCGCTTCAGGGATACCAGACGTACTCTGGACTAGGGAATTTGCGTCACCCGTACAATTTCCATCCTGGTTATAAGGAAGCCCGAATGTTTAGGGCACCTCAAAAGGGGCCATAATCCCTAAACCCTAAACCCTAAAGACTATATAGGGGTTTACGAACATAGGGGAGAGGTGTCGGTCGAGCAAGGTCCACCGCACTGAGGGGTGCGGAAGAGGAGGCTTCTAGGATCGCTAGAAAGCTTATCATGATGTTGGTGTTTAGGGTTTAGGGTTTAGGGTTTAGGGTTTAGGGTTTAGGGTTTAGGGTTTAGGGTTTAGGGTTTAGGGTTCAGGGTTCAGGGTTTAGGGTGGGGGGGGGGGCCTTTGGGGCAATTCGGGTTTAGGGTTGAAGGTCTTTTTATCTGGACTCACTGGCAATCAGTGGGGCGGCCATCATCCTCCAGAGGTGAAACTAACACCAATCCGCCACCTTACCCTCCTTGGGTTTAGGGTTTAGGGTTTAGGGTTTAGGGTTTAGGGTTTCGGGTCCTGGTACCATCCACCATGCCACCACCCCAAGCCGGTGCCATCCGGGTTTCAAGGTTTCGGGCTTCGGGTGTAGGGTTTAGGGCTTACGGTTTGAAGTGTAGGGTTAGGATTTTTTAGGATTTGGGTGGTTCTCTCAAGTAGGGTCCTTGTGGGGGCCCTTACTTCAAGGGTGCCGTAGTAAAATGTAAGGGACCCAGACTAATCTAGCAAACTACCCATTTAAGGGGTCGTGTCGAAGGCACCATGCTGCAAAAGCCGCCTCATATATGTATACACATACATATATATGTATATATACACACATATGTATGTATGTATGTATGTATGTATGTATGTATGTATGTATGTATGTATGTATGTATGTATGTATCTATGTATGTGAGTATGTGTTTTATATGTGCTTTTCTTTATGTAAGTTATATGCCTGAAGCCCTGAACCCGATCAACCCTAAACCTTATAAAACATCTCAAAACCCACCGCCGGGAGCCTCCAATGCCAAGTGTCGTCGATACCAAGCCTCGAGGCATCACCCCCGTGTGGGCATTTCTCTGTTGCCAGGTGGTCCTCTGAAACCCTGAACCCTTAACCCCGGTAGCCAGAGGCCTGCCTCTTAACAGGGAAGGCTTAGGGGTTGTAAGCCTTGTAGGGTGTACCCTTAGGGCTGAGGCGTTTGTACATCTCAACAAGGGAGGGGGGTTCAAGGGGGGTATGTAACCCAAGGTTCCCGAATACAGGTCCTAAATCTAGCTCAAGCCACAAATCTCGCACCAAACCCCTTGACCCGTCTCTGACAGGGCAGAATAATATCAGGACTTCAGATCTTTGGAACACAAACAACATCCTAAACCCTAAGCTCCGAAACCCGAAACCCGAAACCCGAAACCCGAAACCCGAAACCCGAAACCCCCTAAACCCCTAAACCCCTAAAACCCTAAACCCTAAGCCCCTAAACCCTAACCCCCTAAAAGCCCTCACACCCCTAAACCCCTGAGCCCCCCAAAACCCTAAGCCCCCCCCCCCCCCCAAACCCCTCAACCCCTTCAAGCCCGACATCCTGTCGCCCCCTCTGCGCCTTGACGTCGATCTCGCCTGAGGCTTCGAACCCCCAGCCGAGCCTAGGCCACAGGGTGGATTTAGAGGGTATTTCTTGGGTGTTTAGAGGGTGTTTTTTTTGGGGGGGGGGGGGGGGGTAGATTTAGGATAGGGTAGATTTAGGGTATTGAGGGTATGTAGGGTGTTTAGGGTTTAGGTGGTCTAGGGTGTTTGGGGTATTTAGGGTATTTACAGGGTGTTTGGGGGGTGCTTATGGGGTGTTTATGGGGCATTTATAGGGCATTTCTAGGGGAATATTTCATGGGGTATCTGGGGTTTGGGGCTGAGGGTGGCTTTCAGGGTTAAGGGTATGTGGGGGGGGGGGGGTTTGGGGTTTAGGGGGTTATGGCTGCGGGGGGTTTTTAGGTGGTTTAGGGTCTGTAGAGTTTAGGGGGTTTGGGGCTTAGGGTTTAGGCTTTAGGTGGCTTGGTTTAGGGGGTTTAGGGGTTAGGGTTCAGGTGGTCAAGGGTATTTGGGGTTGAGGTGGGTTTAGGGTATGTAGGGTTTAGGGGGTTTGGGGCTTAGGGGTTTAGGGTATTTTCGGGGATCTAGCGTATTTGGGTTTAGGGTGAGGATTTAGGGTATCTAGGGGTTAGAGTCGAGGATATAGGGGTTTTTTAAGGTTCAGGGCTCTGGGTTGCGGGGGCTGAGGGGCGTTCAGGGGATTTAAGGGTTTAAGGGGTTTTGACGGTCTCGAGTCTGGGGCTTGACGTTTGGTGGTGCAGCGACATGAGGCAGGGAGCAAGGCGGCCGCAGGGTTTAGGTTTTTGTGGGTTTACCCGAAACCCTAAACCCTAAACCCTAAACCCTAAACCCTAAACCCCAAACCCAAAACCCTAAACCCTAAACCCTAAGCTTAGGGGTTTCTCGTTTAGGGTTTAGGCCCCGACACCTGCACGAGTCGCATCCCGCGAGAACTCCGGCACCTTGCCGGCTTCAAGTTTCAGCTTCCAGGCATTCGGTCTTCGTTCTCTGGACTGCCCTGAGAGCATTTCGCGCCCGAAACCCGAATCTACGCAAAGAAAGAACAACATTTTCAAAAATTGACCGCGCCACGCCTTCGGCGAGATCAGTCCACCCAACTGTCTTGAAAAATGCCTGCTAGTGTCAGACCTCTGAGCCTACCAGGTTTAACCCGGCCTGGCCCATCTTAGCCCTTTCCCTTTCTCTGAATCTCCCTTCTCCCTACACCCTACAACCCTCAACCCTCAACCCTAAACCCCTTGTTCCCAAGTCAAGGGAGGCCCTGGGTCATCTGGAAACCATCTCCGCGCAGCGCGTCTACTTGGGCTTGGCGAGAATGTGATACACCGCCACTGCCCAGCATAACGTTGTCCCTGCAAATGCCAAGTTCGCGTAAATGGGTTCCGCAAGGAAGACGTTGCAGAACCAGAAGTAAAGATGCGGAAGGCCAGCATTCAGCACGTAGGCAGAGTATCCGGCGCACACGACGGCACAAACAGCTGGAGCGCTCAGCTTCTCGCTGCGCTTCTTCTGCATCCAGCGCGCGATTCTTGAGAAGATGAGATACATAGTTGGTGCCAACCAAAACCTGGGTAGCCCAGCAACCACCTTATGATTATTAAAATAAGGGCACCTTGTTTTGGGTTGGTTACTTTATAAGGGAACCTTGAACAAAAACAAATTCAAGGGAAAAGGGTACCACTGGGCTACCAAGAAAACCACCACGCCACGGTGTTGATCAGAATTCCCATGGCATAGACCTGCTCGCCCGCGCGGGCCCAGCTTGCGAAGGCACCACTTTGGCCCCAGACAATAAAGGAGTTGGCCCCGGCCAGCCACAGGAACCCTAGGGGGTACCCACGGGTGACCCGACCCAAAAAGTTGTCGCGCACCGTGGTCCGGACGCACTCCTCAAAAGAATCCACGGAGCCAAACCACTCCTCTAGGCAGTGTTTTAAGATGACTTTGTCGCACGGAATGGGCTTGCCATCTTCCAGGAGGTGATTCGCGGAGCAACAGTGGCAAAGGGCCCCTGGCCAGCTGAATGTGCGAAACTGCTCCTCAGCAAGAAAGATGCTTCGCCAGAAGTCCTCGAACGCGAGGGCAAGCAGCACGCTGTGCGCAAGCGTGTACAGCACCCTGACAAGCAAGAGCAAGGCACTATAGGGCAGGCTTGTCTCCATGGCAAGAAGAAGCACTCCCCCAATGACAATGACGAACACGGCCTTAGTAGCCCACAACTTTTTTCCAATAATAGGGGTACCCTTTTTTGTGGGGTTTGTTACTTGTTGACGGAGCCTTGAACCCAAAAGACCCTGAGCCCTAAACCCTGAACCCTAAGAATATAAACTTACAAACTTATAAACTTGTAAATTTACAAACTTATCAACCCTAAACCCTAAACCCTAAACCCTAAACCCTAAACCCTAAACCCTAAACCCTAAACCCTAAACCCCCACCAAGCAACATATGCAAACACAGTAGGCTTGACAAGGACCTGCACCGGCTTGTCATCCTTATGGCTGTGCAGAAAGGCCGCGAGCTCGTATACGCACCACGCCCTGGTTGTTTAGGGTTTAGGGTTTAGGGTTTAGGGTTTAGGGTTTAGGGTTTAGTGTTTAGGGTCTAGGGTCTAGGGTTCAGGGTTTAGGGTTTAGAGGGGTAAGGTTCTGGTCCCACATCGGTTTGGGATGTTCCGGGGCTCGATGCTGCCACGACAGGATCTTAACCCTAAGCCCTAAGCCCTAAGCCCTAAACCCTAAACCCTAAACCCATGCTGCCCTGCCTGGAGAGGTAGGTCGGGTCCCACAGTACCACGAGCTTCTTGGAGTTCTTCCTAGGATGGCCCTTAAAAATCCTCTGAAACAGTATATATTATCCTCTTAAAGCCCTAAACCCTAAACCCTAAACCCTAAACCCTAAACCCTAAACCCTAAACCTGGTGAGACATATGGAATGCCCCAAAGTGCCTACCGAGCTGCAGGACGGCTCCCATCTGCACAAGGGCTGAGGCCTTCAAGACCGGATCGCCCTGGTGGATGCAGATCTGGTCCAGGAACACCTGGGGTTTAGGGTTTAGGGTTTAGGGTTTAGGGTTTAGGGTTTATACTGAACTTGGAGCGCTAGCTCAAAACAAAATCCGCCGAGGCCTCGGGCCGAAGGTGTATAGGTTGTGAGAACAGGCACCCCCCTCCAGGTCCTCCCCCCAAGCCCAAAGCCAACTGTCGGGCCCCTTTTTTTCCTGGACAGGGTACCCCATCGTGGGCGACCACAATCTGAAAGCGGACGGTTCGCCAGGACCAGGGGCAGTTGCCACCCCGCCCCCCGCCCTGCCCCTCCCCCGTCCCCCTGCCCCGACCCCCTCCCCCCCTTTTGCTTGGGGTTTGGCTTGAACCTTGGGAAAAACACGAAACCCCAAACCGTGAACCTTGAGCCCTAAGCGCTCAACCCTTAACTAACCCTCAACCCTAAACCCCAAACCATAAAGCATAAACCCGGAACCCTAAACCCTAAACCCAACCCTTATTGCTTGGGGTGCAGCGACTTGGGCGCTGCGGAATCACCATGCTTATGCGGATGCGCTGGGCCGGGCCGAGGCGGGTCGCGTCGCGTTAAAATTATAGCGGCTTCTTGTTGGGAATTTATAGTCTGCAGTACCCACAATTTAAAAAGAAATCCCAAGCATCCCTAAGACACTTGGTCTCCCGATCGCCAGAGAAAGAGCGTCAGCGAGGAGACGACCAAACCGGAGAGGATCACCAGGGGGCTGGACCTAGTTCATGGTTGGGATGGTATTAAAATTCTAACTTCCTATTCCTCATTGTGTCGAATTACATACCCTTAAAAGTCTACAAGGTCACTCCGCTATGACAAAGGGACCGGATCTCCCCGGAGTAGCCTTCAGGGTGGATTCGGGGCGTCCGGTCCCAGCCGGGGAGGACGTCCTTGTACAACAGGAAGGCCGCGAGAAGGGCGGCGAGAAGACCCAGAACCACTGCGGCGAAGCCTTCGTTGCTGAGTTCAGAACCAAAAAAGTGTAATTGTGTGCACACTTTCAGCTCTGTAGGGGATGATCGTATCCCAAAAAGTGCAAACTGTACTCCTTCAGCTACTAAGAAGCCATTTTTGAGCATCAGCAGCAGGAAGATCTTCATGGAGCGCCGCCCGTGCCAGCTGTGAGACCAGAACTCGTTAATGGAGCTCACCTTGTGGCTGAGCGAATACATCTTCGCCAGGGCCTTGTTCATGGTTGGGAGAATATTGCAAAGGGTTTAGGGTTTAGGGTTTAGGGTTTAGGGTTTAGGGTTAGGGTTTAGGATATTCCCTATCGGGCTTAAGTAACCTTAAAAATGAAAAAAATGTTCTCCAACTATGACAAAGGGGCGGTCTCGGTAGCTTCCGACCGTCCTTTGAAGAGGTGTCTCAGTGCCACCCATGCTGGGACGGCACGGAGCAAGTCTGGGAATCTCAGCTCCATGCCAACAACGAAATCCACAACCTTGGCCACTTCTGGATTCTCGGCTCTGGAAGCATCCTCTGCTGCCTGTGTTTCCGAGCTCCAGGCAGCCACTTCGGGCTCTTCTCCTGGGCTCCGAACAGCCTCCGGCTCCTGGGACTGGTGGGAGAGCTGGCTGAAGGTGACTTGGACTGCATCGTGCTCATCTGGGACCTCATAGTCAACGACGGCGTCGGATGCCATCAGGGCAAAGCAGGACACTGGAGCAGCGGCTCCTACGTGGCTGAATGCTTTATTTCTTAGAGCCGCCTGCTTTCGGGGAAGCTGTGGAGAATGTGGGCTCCAGGGGGCTCACAGCTCACCACCCTCCAAGCAACAGACGGCATACTTACGAGGCGTGAAACTGGTTGCTGTCCAGGCCGGACGTGCTCCCAGTGGACCGTGACATGTTCGGACGGACCTAATTCCTAAACCCCAGACCCTGAACCCTGAACCCTGGGCTCCCCAGCACATCGCTTGTGTGTTGGCCCAGTCCACGACCTCTGGGTTTTAAGGCGAATGTCGGGCGAAGGGAAGCATCATGCTTAATATAGGGTTTAGGGTTTAGGGTTTAGGGTGTAGGGTTTAGGGTTTAGGGTTTAGGGCTACCACAGGGACCTGAATCGTTAGAATAGGGTTTTGGGGGTTGTTAGTTATTATAGTATCGTTGTAAAGGGTGAATTATTCCGATCCCTATCTATATCAGGGGGCTCTTGGGGCGCTGTCGAGGTTAGAAAACAGGACCCCAAAAAACGCCTCCAAAACCTTCACGGAACCCTTGAACTTTAGGGTTTAGGGTTTAGGTTTAGGGTTTAGGGTTTAGGGTTTAGGGTTTAGGGTTTCGGGTTTCGGGTTTAGGGTTTAGGGTTTTCTAAATTACGGGCCCTTACCTTTACAGAATGGCCTGCCATGGGGCCTGGGTTCTATCTCTAGGGCCACCCAAACAAAGAAAGCATGACAGTTTTGGAACACCCTAACCCTAAACCCTAAACCCTAAACCCTCAAACCCTCAACCCACCATCTCAGAAATGGTGTGGCCGAGGCCCCTGCCGCCAGTCAGCGCAATGGCTCTATTTGCAGCATCCAGCGCCTCTCACCACAGTTTAGGGTTTAGGGTTTAGGGTTTAGTAGGGTTTAGGGTTGCGTTTAGGGTTTCGGGTTCGACTTGTGATTCGAAGAAACTTAAAACCTCCCACGCCTCATGGATAGTTTCCTACCGCACATCTAGGGTGGCTCACCACAAAGTGTCTGCCGAGCTGTGATACCACGGGGAAAACTGCTTGATGAGTCCTAAACCCTATAAACCCTAAACCCTAAGCCCTCAACCCTAAGGAAAACAGCCGAGGCAATCATGCGGAAGGCTGTTGATGCTCGTAAAGCTGCCGTACCTCGCCGTAGTTGCCCAGCTTCAAAGCGGCCTGCTTGAAAGGCGCCCTACACTATGGAACTTAGAGGTTAGGGGGGCAAAAGAGGGCCCAGAGGACTTAGAGGGCTTGGAGGGCTTAACATAGGGTCTAGATGATTTAGAGGGCTTAGAGGGTTTTGTGTCTGATGGGCTTGTGGGAGTTATTCGGGCTTATGTGTTCTTTATCGGGGTTTACATAGGGCTCATGGAGTTTCTGTGAGGCTTCGAGTTCTTAGAACCCTAAACCCTAACCCTAAACCCTAAACCCTAAACCCTAAACCCTAAACCCTAAGAGGGAGTGGAGTGGTGTCAGTCCTGAGACAAGTTCCGGAGGACCGAGCCGTGCAGCTCTCTCAGCATGGCATTCTCATCCTCACGGAAGAGGGGTTTAGGGTTTACGGTTTAGGGTTTAGGGTTTGGGGTTTGGGGTTTAGGGTTTAGAAGGTCTGTGGTTCTGGGTGAAGAATGCCGTGTAACAGCTTGCAATCTCTATGTGGCGATGCCTCACCATTCTGGTCCATGGAGCTTTGTATTAAGGTGTCCCAAAAAAACTTAGTAGCCCAGTTTAGGATTTAGGGTTTAGGGCTTAGGGTTTAGGGTTTGATGATAAGGGTACCCTTGGTGGGGTTGGTTAGTTTATAAGGGAACCTTGAACCCAAAAAAGTGCAAAAGGGTACCACTGGGCTGCCAAGACAAGGCACCATGAATGTGGAGAGCTGCCATGCGGGAAGGAACATGCATAAACAGGGGTTCCGGGCTCGAACTATCCAAACACGTGCACATCAACACACATGCAAAGCCCACAGCCTACTGTTGAGGCTTTAGGGTTTAGGGTTTAACTATCGGTCAGACTGATGCTCGGGTTTAGGGTTTAGGGTTTAGGGTTTAGGGTTTAGGGTTTAGGGTTTAGGGTTTAGGGTTGAGGGCTTGTAGATGGCGCGGCTTTCAGAAATTTCATGGTTCAGAACTGCTGCACGGGCTATAATTACTCGAACCTAAGCCCTAAATCCTAACCTCCTAAGCCCTGAACATCCCTAAGCCCTAAAACCCTCAGCCTGAGGCCTAAAAAACTTAAACCCCTAAACCCCTAAACCCCTAACCCTAAACCCCTAAACCCTAAACCCTAACCCTAAACCCTAAACCCTAAACCCTAAACCCTGAACCCTGAACCCTGAACCCTGAACCCTAAACCCTGAACCCTAAACTGAAGTGCTCACCTGATGAAGGGGGGTGCCTCGCATCGCAGGGGCGCTCGGAAGCGACGAAGCCCAATGTCCCCTTGCCTTCAATAGGAGGTTTGGGTGCATAGGGGATTCAGTGTAGGGTTTAGGGTTTATGGTTCAGGGTTTGGGTTTAAGGGTTTAAGGGTTTACGGTTTAGGGTTCAGGGTTTGGGGTTATAGGGTTTGGGGGTTAGGGTTCAGGGTGTGGGGTTTATAGGGTTTGGGGTTTATAAGGTTAAGTTTGTGGCGTAGGGTTATAGGTTCAGGCTTTCGGTTTAGGATTAATGGGCCATTTCAGGTTGATGGTTAAGGGTTTTTTGAGGGTTATACGGTTGAGTTCAGGGCTTGGGGGTTACAACCCCTAAAACCCTAAAACCCTAAAATCCTAAAACCCGAAAACCCTAAAACCCTAAAACCCTAAACCCCTAAAACCCTGAAGCCCTAAAGCCCTAAAACCCTAAAACCCTACAACCCTAAACCCTGAAACCCCAAAGCCCGAAAGACTTCAGCGCTAAACCCTAAAACCCGGAACCCTGTGAACCCTGGAAATGGTTCATCGGGGCTTGCGTTTGGGGTCTAGAGTCCACAGGGGTTAGGGTTTCGGGTTTACGGCTAGGGTTTAGGGTTCACTGCGGTCTAATTTGAAATTGAGGGTTTTTAGGGTTTCGGGCTAGGGTTTAGGGTTTAGGGTTTAGGGTTTAGGGTGTAGGGTGTAGGGTTTGGGGTTTGGGGTTTAGGGTGTAGGGTTTAGGGTTTGGGGAACCCTGAAGCCCTAAAGCCTGCTAGAAAAAACATTGCGCTTCGAGCTAAGAAAGCCTGAAACTCCCAATTCATGGGTTTCCCTACTACCCCCCGCTATACTACCCCCCTAGGTTCCCCCCCCTTAAATAATCTTAATAATCGCTAAATAGCCTTAATTATGGGGGAACCCAGGGGGGGAAGTAGTATAGAGGGGGGTAGTAGGGGAACCCATGATAATGACCACGCAGACCCTAAAACCCTGGTCCCCAAACCCACTGAAAAACACAAACCCTACAACGCCCCGCCCCCTCCCCCTCCCCCCCTCTAAACCCTCGACCCTGAACCCTAAACCCTCAACCCGAAACCCTCAACCCTCAACCCTAACCCTACAACCCTAAATGGGGTTTAGGGGTTAGGGTTTAGGGTCTTCATTCTGGCAACCGTCCTCCAGGGCTACTTATCATCCCTAAACCCTAAACCCTAAACCCGAAACCCTAAACCACCCTAAACCCTGCCTCCAGCTGTGCAAGGCCTCCTCCCAGTTGCCGCGCTGGTACTCCACCAAGCCATCCTCGTCTAAGTCTTGGAGCGGCGTAGGGTTTAGGGCCCTACATGACCTAGAAATCTTAAGGCGTTTAGGGTTTAGGGTTTATGGGGTTCATAGGTTCATAGAGTTTAGAGGGTTTGTAGGGTTTAGAGGGTTGATAGAGTTTAGGGTTTATAGGCTGTAGGGTTTATAGGGCTTCGGGGTTTTCATGCGGTCTAGGTTCGGGTTGAGGATTTCTCGGTCATGTAGGGCCCTTAACCCCAGACCCCAAAACCCTAAACCCTAAACCCAGTACAGGTTCAGGGTTTAGGGCTAATATATGGGGCTTAGGGAAATCCTCAAATCTACGTTTGTCGGGTTTGCAGGGCAAGAAGAGCTCGAAGCCAAGGCCTGGTGCAGGAGTTTCCTTGCCCCTATGTACAAGGCTTGCTTACCCGAAGCCACCTGACAACCTGAGAGGTTTAGGGTTTAGGGTTTAGGGTTTAGGGTTTAGGGTTTAGGGTTTAGGGTTTAGGGTTTAGGGTCTTCGGACTGGGGCCGGAAAGAGACACTCTGTGGGCTTTAGGGTGTTGAGTTTCGGGTAAGTTTAGCGTTGTTGTACACACGGCGAACTTTGACGGGGGCTGCGGCCTTCCGGCACTTCTGGCCATACTCCAGCGCAACACGGAGGCCCTCCATGTCGATGATCGTCCGCGTGGAGGGGGCCTGAGTACAACATCCAGGGGGGGGGTGTTCTAAACCCTAAACCCTAAACCCTAAACCCTAAACTCTAAACTCCCTCTTTAAGGGCTGTATTAGCACGTCCTGTCAAGGGTCCCTGATGTAGAGAGCCCAGGGTGCAAAAGCCTTTTCAGGCAACTCCTTCGGCCCACAAGGCCAGCACTTCTCGCGATCAACGAACCTAGGAATAAAAGGGTTTAGGGTTTAGGGTTTAGGGTTTTGGAGGGGGGGGTTTATACGGGAACCTAAACCCCCAAAACAGGAAACAAGGGGCCTGCTCAGTTACTAAGGGTACCCTGATCCCTAAACCCTAAACCCTACTCCCTAAGCCCCAAAAAAAAAAGAAAATAAGGGCCTGCTCTGGGTCCTGGTCAAGGGGCGCGCTCCAGCTCCTTCTGCGCAGCCTCCTGCGCTTCCTTGAGGCGGCCGTCAAGCTCTTCCTGGCACGTTGATCCGGGAGTTGCAGAGGTGACTTTAGGGTTTAGGGTTTAGGGTTTAGGGTTTAGGGTTTAGGGTTTAGGGTTTAGGGTTTAGGGTTTAGGGTTTAGGGTTTAGGGTGACTTGAACTTCCTCTGAAACCCAATGCCTCAGTGAGAGTTGGTCTTAGCGCTATGTAGACGGCGTGGCGCTTGTGCACGAAACTCTCTAATGTGTCTGAGAACTGAAGCTCCATACTTAAACCCTAAACCCGAAACCCCAACCCTAAACCCTAAACCCGAAACCCTAAACCCTAAACCCTAAACCCTAAACGCCGATCCGCCTGCATGAAGGTTGCTTGCCTTTCCCGCTCCTGGCTCTCGCAGCGATAGTCGCGGGGGGCGGATCGAGGGCGTGGAACTGTAGGGAATCGGGTGCCATGCCCAAAAGTTTAGGGTTTAGGGTTTAGGGTTTAGGGTTTAGGGTTTAGGGTTTAGGGTTTAGAAAGCCCTGAGCTGTATGAACAAGTAGCACACGACATTGTTAGAAAAACAAAACGGTGCATGTAAAACTGTGCGGGGGGATGCTGACAAGCAGGCTACCTATCTAGGGTCCTTGCGATTCATACTTTTCCGGGGGTATACAAGGGGTAATTGATTTGGGGTCAAGATGTACATGCACTCACCCCTAAGCCCTAGACCCTAGACCCTAAACCCTAAACCCTAAACCCTAACCCTAAACCCTAAACCCTAAACCCTAAGCCCTAAAAAACAAAAGCAGTGTTACAGCTGTGAACGTCTTCTGCGGGTCTACAGGCATGCCTTGCTGCGCTCCCGTGGCCCAGAAAAGGTACTCAGGGATGCTGAAATGACAAGAACGCATATATATATATATATGTATATAGGTAGATAGCTAGATAGATAGATAGATAGATATAAGATATAATGATAATAATACTAATAATTAATAAATAATACGAATAATAATAAATAAATCAAAGAAATATATAAAAATAAATAAATAATAATAATAATTATATGAATAATAATAGTGTTAGTGTTTTTGTTCTTATATATGGGTGGCTGTCAATATTCCTTCTTCCAGGAACGGCGGATGCTGAAAAAATCATGGTGCCGCCTTATGACGAGAAGGAAAACGAAGGTCTGGAACGATGGCTTTGGCAAGTACAGAAGTGTAGTACTAATTCTTGCTCCCTATGCAAAAACCTCGCAAAACACACTAGCGCCGCCATTTTAAGACTCAGGCATCGTCATCGGAACTATTGGAGCTACTTGAGCTCGAGCTAGTAGTGCTTTGCTCTTCCAGGTTGGCCATGTTTCAAATCAGCTGTCTTAGTACAGCTTTATGTCTTGGATGGGCAAGTGGCCACCGCAAGCAGTTTCCCTTTATATTTGCTAGCGCGATGCTAGCGCCAACCTAGCGCATATTTCGCCACATGACTTTAGAATTTTGGCACGCCGGCAGTATGCATCAGTAGCAACCACAGGGTTTAGGGTGTAAGGTTTAGGGTGTGTAACCCAATGTTCCACAGTCTTACCTAAGCCGCAGGCCGCCTATACTACTTAAGCTTCCCGAAGCTGGATCGCTCTAAACCCTAAACCCTACACGATAAAACCTAAAATGTTAGCCTTTGGAAGGAACAGACCTAGCGCCAGGCTAGCGCTATCCTAACGCCTACATGGGGAAGAGCCTGAAACCTGCATATACGCATGGTGCCGCCTTGTGGCGAAGACATAAACCAGCAAGAGCGGAACTTCATATCGCACTTCCATCATATTTTACAGACATGGTATTTTGACGTCCGCCCATATATATATATAACTGGAATAAACGGCATACATCCTGTTCTTTCTTCAACCTCAAGCTTCTTTCCACCAATTGGAACCCTCAACGATTTCGAATCCTCAACGCGAAATCGGGTTTTCAGGGTTTGGGGCCTCCAGGGTTTAGGGTTTAGGGTTTGGGGTTTAGGGTTGGTTTCATCCAAAACCCCAAGCCCGAAATCAGGAAATCCTGCCTAGCCTCCGCACTAGAAAATCTTCACGCTTCGCGTCCCTCATCCCCAGGGATCCATGTACATGTGTAGTATAGGGTTTAGGGTTTAGGGTTTAGGGTTTAGGGTTTAGGGTTTAGGGTTTAGGGTTTAGGGTTTAGGGTTTAGGGTTTAGGGTTTAGGGTTTAGGGTTTAGGGTTTAGGGTTTAGGGTTTAGGGTTTAGGCCTCAAAGCGGTTCCTATGTAGAACTTTAAGGGCCGAAGTATATACTATATGGGTATTTCCTCAAATAGGAGTACCTTTTTACCCAAAATAGAATAGAATCAAGGGACCCCCAAAAAGGGTACGGTACCCCTATTTTCGGAAACCCCCATATAGGTACATGGATCCTTCGGGATAAGCCGGGGAGCACGGGCCTCCGGCGTGTCGCAGGCGAGTCGGCAACAAGCGGCACGCAACTCGGCTAGGATCTCTCGCCCAGGAGCCTCCTTCAGTTGCTAGGAGGGGGGGGGGGGGGGGGGGCGCCCTCCAGGGTTTGGGGCTTGAAAGGGTGAGGGTTGAAAGGCCCCAAAGGGTATGTAGGGCAAAAGGGGGTTTCGGGTTGGAGTGGGCGGCGCCTTAGGGGGATCATTCTGGCCTTAGAGGGATAATTCTGGGGTCTGGAGCTCACGGGGTTGAAGTTTAGGGTCTTGTTGTTCGGTAGGTAGAGCTGCGCGACATACATGCCGTCATCTGCATGATAGACATACAAACCTGTGCATGTACTACATGACATACATACTGACAAATATATACATAGGTACATGAGCACGTACATACACACGTATAAACACCCATACGTACGTAAGTACATAAGTACATACATACACCAATATAGACAGACACAGTACACATCATCACATTACATTACGTAACGCTCCATTACGTTTCATCTCAGTTCATGACACACATGCAAACATACATGCATAGTTGCATTGCATTGCATTGCATTGCATTGCACTGCATTGCATTGCATTGCGCTGCGTTGCATTGCATTGCATTCCATTACATTGCACTCATGTGTGAATGCTTACTTGAAAAGTACACAAACGTCCCACGTGCATACTCGCAATCCGTCCAGGATCTATGCCATTTCACCCAAGCGCCACAGTGCTTCCACAAACTTGCGAAGCCGACATGCCCCGGAAGCGTGAGGAGACTCCCTCCGAATGCGAGGGATCAGGGCTCACAAGGGTTTAGGGTTTAGGGTTTAGGGTTCTAAATAGTGGGAGGGGGTTTTGGGTTTAGGGTTGCACTCCTCGAGGAAATCGGACAATGTCAGCTGCAAGTCATCAGCTTCCTGCCGGTCACTCTGCGCGGCGCGTCATGTTCCATACAACCACAGGCCAAAGCATCTGCTTAGGGCTCGGGATTCGGCTTTCCGGTTCAGGGGTGCAGGGTAAGGGCACATAACCCCTAAAAACCCTAAACCCCTAAACCCCTAAAAACCCCAGAGCCCCTAAACCCCAAACGCCTAAACCCCTCAACCCCTCAACAACCCCACAACCCTACAACCTCAACTCCCCAAGCCGACTACTTCCTAAAGAACGAGGGCAGCTTGACGGCCAGGACTCCTAGGTTGGGTCACTTACGGCTGCACTGTCGAAAGCTTTTGGTTGGGAATAGGGTTTAGGGTTTAGGGTTTAGGGTTTAAGGTCTAAGTTTAGGGTTTAGGGTTTAGGGTTTAGGGTTTAGGGTTTAGGGTTTAGGGTTTAGGGTTTAGGGTTTAGGGTTTGGGGCCGTAGGGGGGGGCAACCTGAAGTTCACAGGCTCCCTGCTTCAGGGTTTGGGGTGGGGATCGGGTGGGGTTTAATTAGGGTTTAGGGTTTAGGGTTTAGGGTTTAGGGTTTAGGGTTTAGGGTTTGGGGCCTTAGAAAATGCGCCCCTGGCTCACGGCCTCGAGTGCCGTGAGGAGCAGCTGCTCAACAACCCGGCAGTGGAGCACCTTCTCCCAGTCAGGGTTTAGGGTTTAGGGTTTAGGGTTTAGGGTTTAGGGTTTAGGGTTTAGGGTTTCGGGTTTAGGGTTTAGGGTTTTAGGGTTTAGGAGGTGGAATGTTGAGACCAGGAGTAGCCTAGGAGGAAAAGGGGTGACCTTTTTGGTTTTAGGGGGATTATAAGGGAACCCAAGCCTACTAAGGGTAATAAGGGCTTACTCCGGGTCCTAGACAGAGTGAGAGACCCAAAACGAGTGGCAGACCATGGACAATGCACGGGGCTTCGAAGTTCAAATGGTTCCTCCTCCGGACTCGCTGAAAAAGATATGGGGGAGATGGACCCTAAACCCTAAACCCTAAACCCTAAACCCTAAACCCTAAACCCTAAACCCTAAACCCTAAACCCTAAACCCTAAACCATAACCCTAAACCCTAAACCCTAAACCCTAAACCCTAAACCCTAAACCCTAAACCATAACCCTAAACCCTAAACTACCCTAAGCACACTAAGCCGCACGGCCCATACCGGACATAATCCTGAGGGCCCCACCGGGGCGACGAGGCGCCGTAGCTCCACGGAGCACTCTTCCAGCTCCTGGATGCCCAGTTTAGGGTTTAGGGTTTAGGGTTTAGGGTTTAGGGTTTAGGGTTTAGGGTTTAGGGTTTAGGGTCCAGGATTCACCCCTAGGATTCACCGTCATTTTCTTAATGAAAGGGGTGCTCCTCCCCCAGTCGGTGCCGGCCGCGGTTGCCCCGAATTACCTGGCATCGGACGTTCGGCGTTGAGAGTTTCGGTTTGGTGGGCCCTAAGCCCAACCCTAAACCCTAAGCCCTAAGCCCTAAGCCCTACTACGGTAAGCCCTAAGCCCGAAGCCCCAAGCCCTAAACTTCTGAAAACTCTAGCTTGGGCTTAGGGCTCGAAGTTAGGCGGTTTTAGGGCCTTTACGTGTAGAGTCTGGCCTTTCCGTACTGCTGGAGCCAGACATTGCGTCGCTCGGTCCAGAACTGCTCCTTGCGTAGCAGGACCTGCAGGGGTCTCCGCGGGGAAGGGGAAGGGGGCTTAAGGGTTTAGGGGTGCTACTGGACCCTGGGGTCACGATTTTGCTGTTAGTTACTGTTAGTTCTACCAACTAAACCCTAAACCCTGAATCTGTTAAATAGCGGGCTGTCTTGTGAGTCCATAGGCACATGTAGTAGGGTTGTGGGGTCAGGACCAAATCCCCATTCCCTAACTCCCCTAACTCGTGAACCTGTACTTCTCAAGTGACGGCAACTGAGAGCAGCCTACACCGAAGACTCGTTACCTGAAATGTAAAACTCTCGCCAGGGGAAAAACACTTCGAGCCCCGAACCATCGAACTTTCTAAATGCCTGAATGCTGTCTGTGCTTGTACTTCCTCGTAGCTCTAAACCCTAAACCCTAAGCCTAAACCCTAAACCCTAACCATCCTTATATTCCCTCCGAACTCTAGACCCTAACCCAACCCCCCCCCCCCCCAAACAACAAAAACAAATCCCTGCCTTGGCCCATGGAAGCCGAGCCGCCTCGTTCCAGAACTCCTGGTCCTGGGAGTCGGGAATTGTGTGTGCTTGAATGGACCCCTTAAAATCACTTCACTGTTTTAGGGTTGAGGGTTTAGGGTTTAGTGTTTAGGGTTTAGGGTTAGGGTTTAAAGGGTTCTTAGATGGACCCCAGAGGGGTCAGAAAACCGACTTCACAGGGGATCGTACAACCCAAGGGCCCGAGTACCTAAACCCTAAAACCCTATAAACCCTATAAACTCCCACCCCGAACCCTGAGCCCTAAACCCTAGAAACTCCCTGAGAAACCCCAAACTCCCACCCCGAACCCTGAACCCTAAACCCTAGAAACTCCCTTAGAAACCCCAAACTCCCACCCTGAACCCTGAACCCTAAACCCTAGAAACTCCCTTAGAAACCCCAAACTCCCACCCAACGAACCCTGAACCCTAAACCCTAGAAACTCCCTGAGAAACCCCAAACTCCCACCCCGAACCCTGAACCCTAAACCCTAGAAACTCCCTTAGAAACCCCCCCCCCCGCCAAAAAAAACAAAAAAAATGTAAGTAATAAGAACCCCCGATGCCCAAAACCTCTGAGAGGACTGGGATCCTCCATGGAGCGGCCCCGGTTGGCGTTGTTGCGAGGATCCTTCCCAGTCTTTATGCAGGGTTTTAAATTTTAAAGGGTTCCTAAGGTTTAGGGTTCTAAAGGGTTCTTAAAGTTTAGGCTTTAGGGTTTAGGGTTTAGGGTTTAGGAGTTAGGTCCCGGGGGGGGGGGGGGGGGGTCTTTCCAAGGTTTTGTGTAGGGTCCACAGGGTTCATAAGGTTGAGTGTTTTGGGTTTAGGGGGGTTATGTTCTTTTTTGCAGGGTGTATTTCTGGGGGCTTCTTTGGGTTTACACAGGGTTTGCAAGGGGGCCTCATGGATTTCTGTGTAGGGATTGTGGGGGCTTCTGGGTTCGTTTCGTAGGGCTTATGCGGGGTTTGGGTACCCTCTTTGGGGATCCCTTTAAGGGAATTCTGTTCTACTTGGGGTATAAAAGGAGGGGTCGGGGGGAGGGGTCATGACCTGAGCCCGACAATCTCCGGCAGCCCATACCCTCCTTTCGATCACCAGACGTTGTGTCCGTAAACTCTGCTTGCGAAAAGTTGCCCCCCTCAAGTCCTCCCGCATCCGCTGAAGCTCCTTCTTGAAGTATTCCGGGTCCTTCCTGAACAGGGGTGGGGGTGGGGTGGGGACGTCAAAGGAGTTTTGCCTGGACAAGTCAAGAGGCCCCTGCAACAGCTGGCTACAGAATCCATGGACGCCAACCCCGAACCTCCTCCACCACTAAGCCCTGAGTCTTAAACTCTTCCTGTGAAGCTGTGAATTCAAAAGGGAGGTGGGTTCATGGGGTAGGTAGGGAACCTTGGCGAAGCTTAGGGAGCCTTAGGGAGGAGTAGGAGAATCATTTAGGGGACCTTGGGTTGCATAACCACCCCCTTGAACCCCCCCTGCCTTAAGAACCCTATAACCTAAGCCGCTGAAAGGCCTATCTTCATCTGAGCATCATCTCCAATGGCCACCTGGGATAGCCCAGCTCCTCTTCACAAAGGTCTTCTTGGCAGGGCTGCTGCATCAGCCGCCGGTCCTCCTGCCTCACCTTGCGTCAATGGTCGGTGGCAGGAGGGTCTCCGCTCGCTCTCGGAGACTTCTGCAAGGAGATTCAGAAAAAATCGAAACCCTGCATCTGACTGACGTCTCTCTCCCTCCCTCCCTCCCTCCTTCGCCCTAAACCCTAAACCCGCCTCTGTCTCCCAGGGCCTCGCAACTCGCTGCGGAGGGTCGGCCCACAAGGCTTCCGCCTTGGAAAGCTCCTCCTCGGGGGGGCCATCTCACGCTCCCTCTGTATCTCCCTCTGTATCTCCCTCTCCCTCTCCCTCTCCCTCTCCCTCTCGTTTTTCTTTGTTTTTTTTTTTTTTTGTTTTTCTGTCTCTCTCTCTCTCTCTCTCGCTCTCTCACTCTGTCGCTCTCTGATTAGGGTTCAGCTCTACGGGTTCCCCAGACCCGAATCCCTAAACCTTTAGGGCTTGGGGTTCCGGGCTTCTGGGTGGAGGCGTTGAGGGCTGGAGGGGTCCAGACGCGAAAGAACCGGCTGCATCAAAGTCACAAGAGCAGCAACAACAAGTTGATGGCGTTGTTCAGAGTTTAGGGCTTGTTGGGTTTAAGGTTTAGGGCTTCCCACGGGGTCCCCTCAACCTAAACCGAGAAGGCCAACAAACCCCAAGAACCATACGGAATCCTAAAGGACCCTAAGCCTAAGGAACTAGACCCGAAAGGCCCCAACACCGGAAAAACTCTGGTAAGAACTAAACCCTAGTAAGACCAAAACCCCAAACCCCAAACCCCAAACCCCAAACCCCAAACCCGAAACCCGAAACCCGAAACCCGAAACCCGAAACCCTAAACCCTAAACCCTAAACCCTAAACCCTAAACCCTAAACCCTAAACCCTACACCCTACCCCCTCCTTGGGTTCACCCGACCCGGCGAGGCGGAAGATGTAAGTCTCTGGCCGCGCCTTGCCGGGTTGTCGGTCGGGAAAAAATCTGAGGGTTCTGGGTTTAGGGTTTAGGGTCTAGGGTCTAGGGTCTAGGGTTTAGGGTTTAGGGTATAGGGTCTAGGGTTTAGGGTTTAGGGCTTAGGGTTTAGGGTTTAGGCCCTTTGGGGCTAAGGCTGGAACGCTCCGTTCAAGCCGACCCTACACCCAAACTATCCAAGCCTAATTAGCAAAGGGGCTCCGAACTTCAGATGCCTTCTCCGAACCAGATCCTGAGGGTTTAGGGCATAGGGCTCCAAAGCCCTGGCTCTAAATCCGAAGTTCTAGACCCTAAACCCTAAACCCCTAAACCCTAAACCCGAAACCCTAAACCCTGAACGCTACACCCTAAACCCTAAACCCTAAACCCTACACGTGCCTTGCAAGCCCAGCTTACTGCCCAGCCTGGTCATCGCTGGAGGAGGCAGGAAAATTCTCCACCGGCTCGAGGGGGGGCAATGAGGTGGAGGAACCTTTGTGCGATTCATGGCGCTTGTAGGGTTTAGGGTTTAGGGTTTAGGGTTTGCAGGGCGTTTACGATGGTATACATAGATTTATATATGGAGAGAGAGAGAGAGGGTTTGTAGGACACGGTGCTTTTAGGGCTTATAGGATCTGTATGGTTTATTGGGTAGGGTTTCCAGGAGTTGTACACAGGAGTCTTATCTTCACTCGGCAGCCGAAGGGCAGCTGTCATCGTCGTCAGGCTCCGGGCACGGCATGGGATGTTCCCGGAGAACCAATGTCCACCCTAAGCCCTATAAGCCCTAAACCCTACTTGGGTTAGGGTTTAGTTTAGGGTTTAGGGTTTAGGGTTTAGGGTTTAGGGTTTAGGGTTTAGGGTTTAGGGTTTAGGGTTTTGGGTTTTGGGTTTTAGGGTTTAAATAGGGTTTACAGTAGGGTTTTGGGTAACTGTCAATGGTATTGAGTTCCATAGATTGCTTCCGGGGCACTGAGCTCCCTCGGCCGCTATCGTGAAAGCTTACCAGTTCCGAGTGACCGCTTGATGAAGCATGATCATGATAATGGTAAGTGTTTAGAGTTTAGGGTTTAGGGTTTAGGGTTTCGGACTTATAGAGGCCTTATGGTTATGGCCACCTTACAAAGGGCAGAGAGGTGGAGCCCTGGGAGCCAGGAATCGATAAAAAATCATCGCAATCATCGCTTGATAACGGAACTTCCTCAGAACTATTACTATAAAAGAAGAGACAAGAATCCCCTTATTGTTCTACCCTTATAGGGAACTAAAAGAAGAGACAAGAATCCCCTTATTGTTATACCCTTATAGGGAACTAAAAGAAAAGACAAGAATCCGCTTGTTGTTATACCCTTATAGGGAAGAATATCCTTGATTTTTTTTTTTGGGGGGGAGGTTCTTCAGCAAACAGTAGAGAAGACAACAGATTGTGAAGGTGCAGTCTTCTCTTCTCTTTTGCTCGCATCGCTCTTTGATCACGACGAATTGGGGCATGTGCGGTAGGTGGACTGTGCTCGGACGCGGTCTGGAATGCTGCCCCAAATGGACTCTGCCAAGGTTGCAGGTGTGTGTAACCTGCCGGGTTGCAGCGACAAAGCGCCAGCGCTCGCGGCGCGGGGCACGCCCGATAACCATGTGTGAACAAGCCTGCGCAACCACCTGCGCTGCGCTTACTCCAGCGCAGGATCCGCGGAGCTGCTGTAGAGTGCGGGCAGGTGGGCCAAAGGGAGTTCCTGCTGCACTTTCGAGTTGGCAGCGTCTAGGGGGACCCGCACCTCTTCCGGGACACAAGCAGGCTCAGCAGAAGCGCTGGCGTCCACGGTGACCTCGATGACATCTGGGATTGAGAACTGGCCGGCGGTGTACATGCGACCATTGTTGTTGCCGTGTATGTGGACCACCTTGAACCCTGCCCCAATCAAGCGCTGCATGGCTTGCAAGAATTCCCCATGACGATTCACATCAGATAGCTTGTGGAACTCGATCGACATCTGCCGAAACCGTGACAAGGTCATGTTACTGGCCGTGCCCAGCGCGGGCCACTCTGCGCCCTCAATGTCCATCTTCATCAGCAGAGATCTCTCGGGAGCATCCGCGAGGCCTGACTGGATCACAGCCTCCTCCAAGGTCCAGCTGGTCTTCCCCAACACGCCACCCTGGTTGTTCTCGCCTTTGAGGCAGGCCGGGAAGAATTTGCACTTCTCACCTTGGCTGACTTCCGAACCCCTCCGAAAAGCTCATAACTTTTAGGCTCCTTTTCTTGTAGCTTCTACCCAAACCCTAAAGGTCAAAGTCCTAAGAGCCAGCCCCTAAACCCTAAACCCTAAACCCTAAACCCTAAACCCTAAACCCTAAACCCTAATTAAACCCTAAACCCTAATTAAACCCTAAACCCTAAACCCTAAACCCTAAACCCTAAACCCTAAACCCTAAACCCTAAACCCTAAACCCTAAACCCTAAACCCTAAACCCTAAACCCTAAAGCCAAGTCACACTGCTGTGCAGGATGGCCCACTGTGCAGTCGTACTGGAAGACAGGGACTCCGTAGGTCTCGAAGGCATGCTTGGACCAAAGGTCCCATCCAGAAACTCCGATGGAATAGGCCCCCAGCACCTTACTTCTCCAACAACCCAGCAAGGAAAAAAGGTTAAACTTTATGATTCCTAGTTAAGAAGGAAACCCAACAAGCTTAAAGTTCAGCTATTGGCTGAGAAGGCACGTCGCCGCGTAGCATGTGGTCTGTGCAAGTAAGGTATCCGCCATCGCTAGCTTCACCAAGACGCTTCCAGTTCTCGCCTCGAGTCTTCAGAACTTCATGGGAGGGGGCCGGGGGGGGGGGAATGCTTGTCTCATTGTGCCAAGCCGTGCTGGTGCTACTGGCAGACCTGCTTCTAAGCTTCTAAAGGAATATATGATCCCTATCAAATTCAAAGATCCTCGGCCCCTTCGACCTTTGCTTCACGACGCCGGGCGTTGCTCCACGGATGCTCACATTATGTGGTTTCCGAACTAGGGGTACCCTTTTTGGGGGGTGTCCCTTAAGTGGATTCTATTCTATTTGGGGTATCAAAGGGGGTACCGCCATGGTTTGGGAAATGCCACATTGCGCTTGAAAGCTCGAGATTTGGTGCCGAGTCACAGCGACCGCAGATGCGAAAGCTGCGGAGGAAGTCCTCCGGCGCAAATACCCGGCTAGGATGGCCATTAAAACCCTCTGAAAAATATTCAAAAATATAATCCTCATAAGCCCAATAAGGGAAAATAATGAATATCCCAAGGGCCTACCTAGCAGGCATCAATCAGGCGGAACAGGAACTGAAACCCTAAAACCGAAACCGTCAAGACCCTAAACCCTCAACACCCCTCGTGCTTTAAGCCCTAAACCCTCAAAAACCCCTATATAAACCCTCAACACCCCTAAATCCGACACACCCTAAATCCTAAACGCTAAACCCTAAACCCTAAACCCTAAACCCTAAACGTTCAGTCCTGCGTGGTGCCCGGGTCTAAAGAGTCGGCCAACTTCATGATCTCATCAGAAAGAGCCGAACTGGGCATCTTTTGGGTCCTGTTGCTAGGGTTTAGGGTTTAGGGTTTAGGGTTTAGGGCTTAGGGTTTAGGGCTTAGGGTTTAGGGCTTAGGGTTACATGGTCCCTTCGTATGGGCCGGGACCCTTACATACCCTGATAAACCCTATACAACCCAAGGGCCCTTTAAAGGAGGTAAGGGACCATATGAAGGGCCCGTATAACTTGGGGTTTAGGGTTTAGGGTTTAGGGAACTACCCTGGGTTTCCGAACTTTGGGGGTACCTTCTTGGGCTGTCCAATTGATATAAGGGGATCCTACTATTTGGGGGTCTATAGTAGGGGTCCCTTAGTGTCGGTGACTCCATTCTGGGCTTATTTGGGCATGGGCCTTTATCCGGCTAGAAGGCTGGTTCATGTGCGTTGATGACATGCTGATTCGTATAGTTCCACTTCGGCAAGCTGGATTAGAAACAGGCTACTTACTAAGGTCCTCGTGTGTAGCAAGCACCCAGAATCAGGAGACTCTTCGAGCGCTGCATGGCTTTGCTGGACGGCTGCTATCAGAATTGACAACCGCGCCATGGCGACAGCCATGGAACTGATCTGATTCAGAGGCGTTTCGGTGCGCAGGGCGCAGGACACGAAGGCGTCCCAAGGCTCTAAGATCTTCCTGCAAGCCAACAGGTCATGCGCATCAGCGCGGACATCAGCGCACGCGTCTACTTGCGCGAGGCGGAGATTTCTAGTTCTAGCGGCTATTTCAAGCAGGAATCTGACATCGAAGAACTGTTCTGACTCTTGCGGCTGCCCAAAACCCTAAACCCTAAGGCCCTAAACCCTAAACCCTAAAACCCTAAAACCCTACACCCTACACCCTACACCCTACACCCTACACCCTACACCCTACACCCTAAACCCTAAACCCTAAACCCTAAACCCTAAACCCTAAACCCTAAACCCTAAACCCTAAACCCTAAACCCTACCCCGAGCGCTTCTTTTGCGCTTGCGACTTCCTCACTTCGCAGGCCGTGAGTCTGCGAAGAACCGGCCTCTTCAAGTCTTCTTCTGGGCATTTAGGGTTTAGGGTTTAGGGTTTAGGGTTTAGGGTTTAGGGCTTAGGGTTTAGGGCTTAGGGTTTAGGGTTTAGGGTTTAGGGTTTAGGGTTTAGGGCTTAGGGTTTAGGGTTTAGGGTTTAGGGTTTAGGGTTTAGGGTTTAGGGTTTAGGGTTTAGGGTTTAGGGTTTAGGGTTTAGGTTTTAGGGTTATTAGGGTTGAACCCACCAGCAACCTAACAAAAAAACTTGTCAATTGATTTGCCAACCTCACACGAAAATCACCCCACGGTCTAGCAAAGAAGCACCCAACGAGGTGCAGAAACCCCAAACGCCCCCAACCCTAGACCCTAAACCCTAAACCCCAAACCCTAGAACCCTAAACCCCAGAACCCTAAAACCCTAGAACCCTAGAACCACCCTAGACCCTAGACCCTAGACCCTAAACCCTCAACCCTCAACCCTAAACCCTAAACCCTAAACCCGAAACCCTCCCCGAAGAAAAGTCCGCTCCTGTCTCGGCTGGGGCTCATCATCACACCTGAGGTGCCAATCCCCGCCACTGCTTGAAGGTTCGCGGGTTTCGCAGCTAGGGTTTAGGGTTTAGGGTTTAGGGTTTAGGGTTTAGGGTTTGGGGTTTAGGGTTTAGGGCTTAGGGCTTAGGGCTTAGGGCTTAGGGTTGTGAGGGTTTAGGGCGCATCTAAGTAGAAAGAGTCCATACTAGTTGTGCCTTTCGTTGCTCCCCCACCCCCTCCAAGCAGACGCGCAAGAGTCTCATCAATGGCCCGCACAGCAACAAGGAAACCCCAGCAGGACCCTGCTAGGGTGTTACCCTAAACCCCAAACCCCAAACCCTAAACCCCAAACCCTAAAACCCAACCCTAAAACCTAAAACACCAGGGGTTTGCAGCCCTGAGAATCGGTCTCCGAAACCGCAACCCCAAACACCAAATCCCCTAAACCCTAAACCTAAACCCTGTAACCCTAAACCCTGAACCACCAAACCCTAAACCCTGTAACCCTAAACCCTGAACCGTGTAGACCCCCCCAAACCCCGAGCAACCCAAGATCCATCCGGGCATCTGACTCCGGTCGTGCCCCCTGGCCCACGGCCATGAGAAGGGTCTGGACTGCTGGAAGGCCCTGAAGCTTGCTTGGGATGTAGGCGTTTTGGGAGGTTTGGGGTTTAGGGCGTTTGGGTTCAGGATCGGAGCCTTTGAGCTGGAAGGCCTCGTTTTGCGGCATTGTAAGGCCCAACACAAACCTCGCTGCAAACCAGCCTCTACAAACAAATTCGAGGCCGTACTCGCTCCTAGAATAGAAACACGACATGAACGCACCGAACTATATATGTATAGTTACTCATTTATATCGTCTATTCACATATATGTATATATATATATATGGTCAGTTCTCTAACTTATAGTCCCAATTAAGGTCCTTACTAGAAGGTAGCCCGGTAGCCCCATTGTTTAGGGCACCCGAAAAGGGACCATAATTTAGAAAAATGAACATATATGCATCGTTGCAAACTGTAAAGTGCTTTCGTTGTTGAGGGTATACCTAGAGGGCACAGGGCTCAGAGTGAATCTAGTAGTACCCTAACAGGCCGATAAGCCCTGCAAACTACATCCACACCCTCAGAACACTAATTTCGACTCAACTGAATCCGGATGAACTTCAATGAGCCCCAAACCCTAAACCCCAAACCCGAAACCCGAAACCCCAAACCCCAAAACCCGAAACCCCAAACCCCAAACCCCGAACCCCAAACCCTAGACACTCGAAGTCGCCCCGAAGCCATGAGCACAAGGGCCTCTGAGCGCTTCAGCGCCATCATCCTCGCCACGTGCGTCTGCAGGCGTTTGGGGGCCTGTTGCGGCGGTCTCTAAACACTTTGAAGGGTTTGGAGATGCCGTTTAAAGCGCTCCAAATTTAGGGTTTAGGGTTTAGGGTTTAGGGTTTAGGGTTTACTGCAAACAGGGTCGCTGGGCACTGTCCAAAAATCTAACAAACTGGTCTTGTCGGTCTTGCAACCTTGCAGGTGTTTGGCTGATCACGGGTGAGTTCTGGTGGCTTTCAAGCATTTGCTACTGGTAGTACGAACCGACAGGGTTCATGCGAAGATCGAGTGGAAGCATGATCAAACCACGATGGACTAACCATCGGTATGCGTTGCTTAACAAAAAGCCCCCTCGCTACATGTCTCCTAAAACATGCGCGCAGACGCATGGAAGGATATGTGGTCGGGATGGAGTGGGGGACTAGTAGATTACTATTTGCTAGATGGCCACATCATCAGATGAGTTATATAAACTACCGAGATACATTCCTACATCACGATACTACTCTATACATATACCCATACACAAATGCAATCGACATTCACCTGTTACGGGTAGGTAGCTATGTTTTATAGTCTTGCACTGGGAGACTAGGCAGCATGTTCTCAGGGGGGTTTAGGGATCTATCTTCCGCGATCGTTGCCTCTATGACGCTTCAGCAACATACGGGTTCATCTTAACCCGTTTTTGTACTGAAGCCGTCTGCCTGGCCTGCTGGAAAAGCTGCTGCACGTGTCCTGACCGAGATTGCAGAAGTTCGCAAAACCACGCCCTGAAGCCTTTTCTCAGGGTTTAGGATGCAGGGTTTAGGGCCCCAGCTTCTAGGAGGCTCAGGAGCGATGTATGATCCAGAGCTAGACACAGCACCCAGCTTGATTTCACAGGCCCCTCTAGACAGAAATGCAGCAGCTGGAGAGACGACACTGAACCCGAGGACCCCCTGCACACTACCTGCGACACTCCGAGTGACATGCAGCAACAAGAGCTCAACAGAAGCCCGAATGCTTGGGACATTCAGCTGCGCAGCACGAAATAACAGCTCCCGACCCCTGGATGTCGAACCCCATGCAACAGCAACACTCCGCCACGGCGCCTCCCGACGCACATCTACGAACTCGATGACTTTCGTCTCTATAGGAATTGTTACCTGTACCCTAAACCCCAAACCCCAAACCCCAAACCCCAAACCCCAAACCCCAAACCCCAAACCCCAAACCCCAAACCCCAAACCCCAAACCCAAACCCCAAACCCTAAACCCCAAACCCTAAACCCTAAACCCCAAACCCCAAACCCCAAACCCTAAACCCTAAACCCTAAACCCTAAACCCCAAACCCTAAACCCTAAACCCTAAACCCTAAACCCTAAACCCCAAACCACAAACCCTAAACCCTAAACCCTAAACCCTAAACCCTAAACCCTAAACCCTAAACCCAACTGCAGGGTTCTTGCAAGCAGAATTCGTCGGCCTTCGCGAGTCAGAAGCTCGGACGGAGGTGCATCCTTGGACTGCTTGGGACAGAGGCGAAGCTGCTTGCGACCTCTAATCCTTGAGTTTAGGGTTTAGGGTTTAGGGTTGAGGGTTTTAGGGTTTTAGGGTTTTAGGGTTTAAGTCTCAACAGTGTTTGGATATAATACAACAATGTACAGTTGTTTTTGTATTCTCATTGCCTAAAGTTAAATGTCTTGTTTGACCCTGTATGTCTATTTTTTGCATGTTCGCAAGGGTTCAGGTGATCCACATTACAAAACAAGGATGTCGACGGCGAGCTAGTCAAATCAAGTATTGATGCACAGGAGTGGGGTGTTTTTTTGTTCTATTCTCTATTTATTTACGTTGCCATTCGTTTATTTATTCCTTGCACAAAGAGTTGCGTTTAAAACAAATTCTATTAGATTAAAAAGTGTTTAGGGTGTAGGGTTTCGGGTTTACGGGTTAAGGGTTACGGTTTTGGCATTTCGGGTCGAGTACAGGCGTGTTCTGTGCAGCGACCCTGTCGCAAAAGGTGTCGCTGCATGGCTTGGAGGGGCATCTTTACCCAAAACATCCCAGCTCAACAGCCCTAAGCCCTAAGCCCTAAGCCCTCAGCCTTAACCCCTAACCCCTAAACCCTAAGCCCTAAGCCCTAAGCCCCAAGCCCTAAGCCAAACAACGTTCCGCCACTACGTAAACGCGCGCCGAAGAGAACCCTGCGCAGCTGGGAAGGGCAAATTACGTGGCAGTGGCAGTATTTCGAAGGTCTGAGTTTATTTGCATGGCTACAGTAGATCGCCCCAAACAACCCTCCATGAACCCTGCGCCCCAGTCCTCGACGCAGCATCCCTCTTGGAAGACGAGAATGCGCGAGAAGAAGTGGATGATGGGAAGAAGCCTACACAGACTACCCCTAAGCCCTAAACCCTAAACCCTAAACCCTAATCCCTAAACCCCATAGACCCAAGAGTAACCTAGGAATGAAAAGGGTGCCCGTTTTTTGGGTTTAAAAGGGGCTTATCAGGGAACCCAGGCCTTAATCTGGTATCTTGAAAAAAAGGGATAAAAGGGCCTTACTTCGGGTTGTAGCAGCGCCAGGGGAATTCAAGTTCGGGGCAATGAGTCGTATAGACTCCCCGACGCCCTGGGCCAAGATCATACGTCATGCTCGCCAGGCGACATGGTGGCTGCGCTTGCCGTGTAGGGCCGGGTGTTCGGGTACTTT